GGCCGTTGCGGGTAACGGTCGGACGGCTGAAGGCTGGTGGGACCCCAAACGGTGGGGGGCTCCGTGGCACCCCTGGACTCTGCAGGGGCTCTGTGGTGTCCCGCAAGCCCTGCAGGGGCTCTGGCAGCCCCCCAGGCCGGTGACAGAGGAAGGCAGCCCCGCAGAGCCGTGATGTCCCGACGTACAGGAGCTTCCTTCTGGGGCTTTACCTGGCGTTTCCTTTGAGCAGTACATACCAAACAAGCAGCTGAGGTTAATGACAGAACAACAGACTGCATACATTTAGCTAACAGTTGCACTGGTGTTTAATCATTGTGCTTCGGCCTCCCGCGACACGTTTTTGTACTGTTTTTGCTACTGTGCCTCTTCAGAGCCTGTGACGCTGTTTTTTAAATTAGTGTGGGTTGCCCCGTGGCACCAGCGTAATTCTCATCTCACAGAAGTGTTCCAGACTTGAGGTAGTAAAACATTCACGATTTCATACATGCCCTTCACATCTCTGCCCTCTCGCACTCACTTCTTACAGCATCTTATTTGAGGTAATGCATAAACTTCATGACTTACAGGGGCAGTATCTGGTGTTAAAACCATAAACATTTGATCTTGTGCAGCCATAGTTTCAGTGATAAAATTTTCCTGGAATTACTCAACGGAAGTTTCTGACAAAGCCCAATATCCCTGTAATGCAACATCATGAATTACATGACCTACGGTGCATTCCACAGTTCCCTTCAGCTTTGAGGACTGACACACTGACAAAAAGCAAAAACTAACCATTTCGAAATATTAATTCCCCCAAATGTAGACTATCGGGAGGAAGTAGAAAAATAGTATAATAAAGGAGTGTCTTCCACGTTTTTCCATTCACTGTTCAAATGAGCAATACCCCACAGCAATAAGCAGTTCACGAAGGACAGCACAAGAAAGCTACTGAACTCTGACTAAGCAAAACTTTTGGAGACTTTTGCTCCCTTTCACACTCGCAGGTTTAGTCAGCATGGGATTTAGTCAGGTACGGACAAGTACATGAAACACATTTAAACAGTACGTTGCGGAGGGCAGCAGCTGAGCCCCAGCGGTGAGCAAGCCACAGCCTTCCTCCCCACCTCGCACGGCTCCAAGCAGAGCGTGGTGTTTGAGGAGCGAAGCTGTCATCTCACAGTTGAATAAAACTAGTGGGGCTCCTCCTGCAGCTTCAGCTGACGCGTGACCCACGCCCCGAGCGAACGGCTGTGACACGAGAGGAGGCACCGGCCCAGCGGGTGAAAACTTGTATGGATCCTGTCAGATCGCCTCTGATACGGAGAGGCGAGTGCCACACCAAAGCACATGTAAATCCTGCTGTTTCTGCTAACGTGTCCTCGAGAACACGTGGGGAGCAAGCCCCCAGCAAACCGCGGACTATCTTTAAGGAGCTCATGAGAGCAATTTAGAAAAGCAAACTTTTTATCAACAGATTTATATTCACTGTAGTGCAGTGTGCCCCTCACTGAAAAGCATGTAGGGAATGGCACATTTCAGAGTCTGATAGTCATCAAAGGCTACGAAGGCCCCACAGTCTTGTTCTACTCACGTGTGAGCTGATGGCCAAATTCTCACCAATTAAAAAGAGATTATCCATTTCCTTATTTTCACATGCATAAAACAACATACTATATAAAAGCCTTATGACTCAAGTTACTCCACCTTCCAGTAACTCGTTTAAAGTTACTGGAGTCTTTCAATAACTCATTTACTGGAAATCCAAGACCAATAATCCAAGTTCCAGGGTCAAAAATGTGAAAGAAAACAGAAATGCGTATGAAGATACAGTCATAGTTCATGGTTCCCTTTTTCGTGGTTTTTGTTTTCATTACGTACAAGATTGGAATCCTAAAGCTTCTCAAAACGCAACCAAAAAAGCCCTCCAGTTGAGATGCCTGGGCAGCAGCGAAGCGTTGCGGCAGGTGGGTCTCATGACCCAAGCGCGAGCCTGGGAACTACAGACAGTCAGATATTGATAGACGACTGATATTAACTCTGTTTGTATACTTATATCAATCATTTAAATTCCTGGTCTCCTCTCGTTTCCTTTGTGCAGGGGAAACGAGAGGAGACTGGGAATTTAGGGGAATTAAGGGAACTAGGGGAAACTATTAGCTTAATGTACACTTCACAAAGAAAAGTCTTAATGATGTTTGTAAAGTGTTTTAAGCTGAAAGTAATCACTGGAGTTCTAATAATCACTGCAAAACACGCTGTGATGAATCAGGCCTTATGCTGAAAAAAGACATTATCGCAATCAGTTGAAACAATGACAAACTGTAATCTTTACACCATTGTATCTCTATTGCCCTGCTAACACGTCCTGCATTTATATTATCACGTACTATGTTTGTCTGATTCAGATTGTAATACCAATGGCTTCTGAAGTGGTGGTCCAACAAAAATTTTAACACTCTAATCTGGATGTCATTTCTTTCGTTTTTATTTAGGTGTTTGTTATTCTCACCTGAAAATCATATGAAGGCAGCTGACGTACGGCTGAAAGAAATTTAGAGAATTTCATGGTATCGGTATGCTAAAGTGGAGTCTTATAAAAAAGGAAAACTACCAAAAGCTAATATAAATTACTTTAATAAAAATACTCAAATATAAAAGTCACATACAAGTGTTAAAATAAACAAAACTCAGGAAGTTCTAAAAAGATGCTACCAGGCAAAGAATAAATTTTATGTCTAAGCTGTAACACTTCATATTGACAGATCGAAGATTTTTTTTCCCTATCAGCTTACGCAGTCCATTTACTTCTCCTGTTGAACTTGGACAATGTAAACACACGTAGCCTGCCTGATTTTCCTTTTTGGTCTACATCACTTCCTGGTATATAAGCCTTTGCACAACGCTCCTACGCTGGAGAGGCAAATCTACCTTTGACACATTTGAAGCTAAACGTAACCTATATATTGTGGCAATTTCTGATCACAGCTTCATAAGCCTATCTATCAATTTTGTGTTTTTAAAGGCTTTTTATTTAAAAAAAAAAAGCAACCTCTCCCCCCGCAGCACACACTGGAACTCCGTTTAGCTGGTAGCACCCTTTTAAAGGGGAGGAGAGAAGCCGAGTTGTGAGCAGCCCTGAGATCAAAGAGGTCCCCAGCTGTGGACCCACAGTTCACAGCTACGAAACTCCCAAGCTGTTGCGTATATCTCGCGCACAGTGCAAGCAAAACCACAGCTCTGTCTATGTATATGGGTGTGTGTAAAAGCATGTCCTACTCTTTTCTGAAGAAAAGTTTTTAGGTCAACTGCTCTGAAAACTGTGCTTATATAAACTAGGAAATAAGAGAACGGTGACGTTTCTGGCCGGCAGACCTGAAAACGCGGTGTAGAAAAGTATATGCAGTTTAACATAAGGGCTAGAGAAGGGTCTTGCCATCAAATGTACTGATGCAGGCCACACAAGGGATAAAAGCCCTCCACCTGGGGCTTCTCGACTTGGCAGTTTGCTCGCGAAGCTCAGCAAGCGTGCGTTTCACATACCGACTGTACAGTATGCCCTCATGTCTGCCCCACACACCACACCAGCCTCCCCAGCAGATTTGAATCGATTGCCAGCCTTGCATCTCACTACAGAAATGTGAATTTCTAGTACCAGACTTAACCCCCCGCCAGCCACGACTGCAGTTATCCCGCAGGCGCGTGGTCAACGTTTAGATGCAAGCCACAGCTTTGGCGTTTTTGATGACATAAAACCCATAAGAAAAAGCTGGAAGGCCGAGCGCGCTCCCTGGACCGAGGGGTTTTTCATTAAGTGCTGGCAGCGTTTTGTCATCCACCATCCTTAGGACACGGCCGTTCAACTGAATAGACCTAGAGAAAGGGAGAGAGGGGGGTAGCTGGGGCTGCTCTTTGTTTGCTGTCCAGTACGAAAACCTTTTGAAATTCAGCTGCAAACAAGCAAGCACAAAGCTTCCTAACCGATTATGGCATACGGCCGAACAAGCCTTCCCTTCTGGTTTGCGTGCATACATACGGATGTACCAGATACCTACAGTATCTATTGCACTCACATAGCAAGTATTCACTTCAGAGAAATATTACACCAAAGGTGAAAAGTAACTGTTTCTTACTCGCCTACTCAAACTAGCTGCAGAGCAGACTGAAAAGCACAAATGCAAATTGTTTTTCTCCTGCAGATGCTACTATGTCTTTCGTACACATTGACACAGGAAGGATCTGAGCTTTGGGTGTGAAAGTTATACTAGCATTTGCGGAAAACCAAACCAAACCAAACCCCTTGATTACCACCGTCAGTGTACTCTGGACTAGAATACTGTTCTTGTTACCAGCTTCTCGTTTTGCTGGTTTACAGCAACGCATTGGGTCAATATGGGATTTTGTATGGCTAATACTTGTTCTAGTGACACAACATACAGCTGTAAAATCAGGAGCCAACGCTGGTGAAAGCAATGTTCCTACACCCGTTCACAACGAAAAGGGCGTTAGACTCTGGTCCGGGGTACTGATGGTCTGCTAGAGGGTTAGCGTCAAACCCCTGCCGCCGTACCTTAGCAGGCCTGGTTTTAACATACCTGACTTAATAGAAATCAGACCACACTAAAAAAAATAAGAACAAAAAACCCCCCACCAACCCAAACCAGAATGGTAACCCCAGTCTTTATCTTACAAGCGGAAAGACAGGGTTTTGGAGGCTATCTGCATGCTAATCCCAGAACTCTCTACAGAGAGAAGAGGAACTGCATCCTCACCTGGAAAGTATGTTCTCTTTCCCATGAGGTAGTAGAAGGTATTCATCTACGTGCTTGCTAGATAAGTAACCAGGCAGCTGCAAGTATCTGGTAGCGTTGTAGAGATTTAAAGCAAACAACGTAACATCCCCTTCTCTGTACTTCGGGCTGAAAAGCAAGAGAAAAATCACAGTGGCGTTCAGGTAATAAAGAAGTTGTGCAGAATCCAGGTGTCGTTCACAGACAACACCTCACCAGGAACAGCCGCCATCCCACCGCTGGGGACGGGACGAGTGCCCGCAAGCATCCGGACCAACAGTACAGCCGGCCGTCGGGAAAGGGGGGCCCACACGGGTCAGAGGCGGGCACTTGCGGGGAAGGGATCTACTACTGCTTTTACATATCATCGACGGCGAGGAACTAAAGGGAGGACGCAGAGCAGATCAAGAGTCAGAATATAGGATGGGCCGGAGATGGGAGACATCTCTCTCGCGAGTCTGGGGCTGAGACTGGGTAATTTCTGGACACTATCCAGGCAATCTCTGCAGAAACAAGCACGCTTACTGGTGGGTGTTTGTGCAATGAAGGTACACGCGGAGCTTCGTTGGGTCGGCTCCCTTTAGGCTAACGTGCAGCACCTTGGTGCCAACCAGGTTCTTGTATAACAGTGAAAGCCAATAGTCCTGCGTAACAAAAAGCACATGCGCTTATATCAACTCTGTACGCTAAGGTTATATTTGTCACTCCTGCTCTCCCCTCCCCACCCCTCCTCCAGCAAGATGCTGGCGGAAAGACTAAGTTCAGAAAATGTTTTTCCTTTTGAAAGACTGCAGCTGCCAACGGGGAAGCACAGTGTGCTCACAGAAACCTGTATTTCCTTAATAATTTCCTTAATTTCCTTAATCACGTGAAGAAGTTGGAAGCCAAAAGCACTCCCTGAGCTGAGGGATTTCTCATAAAGCATCAAAGTGGTTTTATCATCCACATTCTTCTTCACGTAACATGCATTTTGCCGGTAACTTCAGGGTTTTTTTCCTCTAATTTTCTACTGGACCAAGTTTTTTTCATCAGGTTTATTTAAAATCACACAAATAACATAGCAAAGAAGAAAATGGTGTCTCCAAGTTGCAAAACGCCTGTGTTCACAAGGTACGTTTAGAGTCGTTTTGCCCTCAAAAGTTGATCCGGGAGCTCCTTTCGGGGGGAGGGGAAGGACTTGATTTTGGGGGTGCTCTGCCCTTTTGGCAGAGGGCTGAGCACCCTGGAGCTTGACGGGAACCCATCAGGGATGAGTTGCCCTTTGCGCAGGGGTACTTGTGCCTGACCCACTGGTGCTAAGCAGGGGAATAATCCCCCGGCTTTCATGCAGTTAGCTGACACGGTGCTTTCAAATAGGTCTTAGAGGATTAATTCGGAACGCGAGTCAAGAGTAAATCCACTGAAGTCCTAAGACGATGCCAACGTAAAAGCGTGTGAGCAGGATAATGCCTGCTGGAGAGCTCGTTTTCCCAGCTCTGCTTTTTCTTGAGTCTTGACTGCTAATTTTGCTCTATTAACTCTGTAACCATAACAGGGGAAAGCGTGGCCTTTGGTTAGGCCCAGTACATGTATTTTTGCAGTGTCATTTCTTTGATCACAACTCCAGCAGAGGATTATGCTAAAGCTGGTAGCTCTCAAAGGGAGCTTCTTCCAGCAGTTCTTTTTTATTTTGGAGATTTCCAAGTTTCTCTCTTCTCTAATGCACCACAAACCCGGGGAAGCAACGTTTCCTGTTGGCCTGCTTGCTCAATCCATTTGTATGGAGACGCAGCCTTTGGAGAGCCTTTAGCATCCTTTTCATTTCAATGCTGCGTAAAACTGACTGCTCTGCTTTGGATTTCCATACCTTTGAAGTGTTATTTGGTTTGCTAGCACCTGTACTGCCTGCAGATGAAAACAAGACATATCTTTTTAATCTAAATGTATTTTAAATTGGGGGAGCGGGGGAAGGAAGGAAGGGAAATAACAAGCTCTTCCATCCCCTGACCACTTGCCCCCAGCATAGGGACCATCTGAAACCGCTGGACAGAACAACTCCGTATGTTGTTTTCCTTGGTTAGATGTTCTTTATGAGCCTGTATCACGGCTTAGAAGCAGAAAAATGGGAGGAAAAGGAAAAAGATGCTATCCTCCCATCCACAGGTAAGTGCTGCTGGCACAAAAGAGCATGCTATAAATATACAAAGTGAATGTCACGTTCAATAATGGTGTTCGGTCCTAGCAGAATGTTATTCTAAACAAATCAAACTATGCTAAATGCATGTTTTCATTTGCTTTTGCTCCAGCCGCTACTGGGTTTGTACGTGACCCAAGAAATACTTGATTCTTAATTTCATGTTATGTCGTTTTTCACTTGTGATGTAATTTCTTACAGCATTTCACATCACGTTTAAAAGCTACTCACCATTCAGCTGAGGAACACTCGAACTAAAACCCTGCATCTATTTGCCTTAGAAACTCTGGACGTGTCCGGATATAAATCACAGCATTATCTCCCAGAAATCAACCTCTCGTCCTAAAGACTAACTGCATCCCTACACTTCCAGGAAATATCTTGTATCTATGTATAGTACACGTATATGTAGTACACGTAGCATATTCCAACACAAACTGGCTTTAAATGCAAGGACAGACATCTGGGAACACCCTACAAGATCTGTTGCTCTCTTGTGCTGTAAAAATAGCTGTCTTCTGTTTGCACATCGGCTTTTGTCTGTACCAGACTACATACAGCATTAAAACAGCGTTAGTGGGATTGCATACGTACTGGCAAAGGCTCAAAATTTGCATCCACCAGATGATAGGTTCCTGCTCCAAAGAACACCTGTCTCATCACCACGTCAATTCCCTGCCTGGCTGAAAGTCCAAGTTTGTCCAGCCACCTGCCAAAAAAAGGAGGCAAACAGCACACAAATCAAGTTGCAGACCTCAGCTGTTCTCTGTTGCCTCTCTCTCACGAGATGAGAAGTAGAAAAGGAAGAATTAAGACTTGATGCTGACGTTTGCTTAAAATCATGCAACTCCACCAAATTCAGGACTTAGAGTGATTACCTCAGAAATTAATTTCAGACTGCATCTGACTCGCAGCCCGATTTTATGGAAATACTTCAGTCCCCTTGTTGCTGTCCTTGCCCTGAGAAACAAGATGCCAGCAGTGGAAACCGACAGCAGCATTTGCTCTTGACCTGCCCAAAGGCCTAACAGTTGAGAAATCATCACAGCGAATGACAAGGTTGTCTGTGATCACTGGGCTTTGACTGGCTGACCCATGAGGCCCTGGCTCAAAAGATCACCCTGCCCGCTAAGTGGGAAAACATAGCCCAGAAATGCTTTCTGCGAATCTTCAAAGAGTGAACCACACATAGCAATGCAAACTTATCTGCCTGAATCTGCAAACAGGTCACTTGAAGTGCTAAAAAAAAAAAGTGCAAGTTCCTTTTTTTTTTTTTTTTCTCCACTTCAACAAATTGCTAAATCTGGTGTCCTTGGACAAAACGTAGACCTTATTTTGGTCAATTATTTCACAGCAGTCAAAGCGTGGCAGAGAAAAAGGACACGTATGTCACGAAGAACTTCCAGTCTTTGCAAAAAGATGGAGTTTATGTTATGGATTCAAGGACGGCAATACAACTTTCTCATGCTTTTACTTCCCAGGTTCCTAGTGGAACCTGCTGTTACCTTGTCCATCTTATCAAACATGAGGTGCGGGGTAAGCGTCTGCTGGCGGCACGGGGCGCCACGCTCAGGCTCTCAGGACCAGCTCCAACACAACAAGCTTCAGTCAGTGAATACAGGGATATTACTGTGTTTTGGGGAAGCAAAATCCAGTCCTACCGAATCAGTGATGTACCGGGCATTTAGAGGCCCCCAACTGGCATTTCTTTAACCCCATAAAAACGTATAATTGACAACACATGCTGTTTTACTCACATAAAGCCAGCGACATAGGTATTGGACAGTCTGGGAGCTCCACCTCCATACGCTGAGCTGGTTTCTCCTAACCAAACCTTTTTGCCTGGCACGGTTCCATCGACAATCTAATCGGCATTGCGTAGGAGAGAAAAGATGACGACAGTAATTAAATTTACGGCTTCTGAAATAATCAGCATTCAGAAATCTGTGCTTCAGCCAATGCCTGGGTACGCCTTTGCATTTAACAGATAGCAACATTGACTGAGGCAGGATGTCACAGAAATTTTGAGCAACAGCACTAGAACAGCAGATTTTTTTCTTTTCCCCTCAAGAAATCACATCTACTCGTTTAGAAAGAGGAAAACATCACTTCAGGGTCAGGTTCTGGAAGTCTTCTCGCGCTGAGCAGTGTCACACTCTAAATCGTCCTGTTCTCAGGATCTCTAAGCCCTGTGAAACGCGAGGGAAGGGGGGAAAACAGGACCATAAATTACATCTCTGAGCAATGACTGAACTGATGAATCAGAATTTTGCAGGTTTATGAAGTTTCTAGCATCGCGTTTGGCGGAGGGCAAAACCTTCTCTCCCGAGCACACCTACTAGTAGCATTGTTAAAACGGTCTTTCGAGCATTCACGCCGCCAGCGGCGGCCGAGCTGGGAGGATCCTCGTTCCTTGCCAGCCGAGGAGCTCTGCCCCGCGCAGGATTCGGTTCTGCTAACGCCGCGGGTAACGCAACGCGTGAACGGCCCCCCACGCAGGGCAACTCACCTCCAGGACATCACGGATAGCTGTGGCAAAGGTATCCAGCACTTCGGGGCTCAGGAAATCCTCCCTCGTGGCGCTTCGTCCGTTTACGTAGTAACTGGAAATGGGAAAAAAAGCACAGTCAAAACTGAGGAAAACTTCTACCGCTGGTGCAAAACAACAGGAGCACTCAGCCGCTCGACACGTTTATTCACATCGTCGCTATTGTTCCGTCCAGTTTTTAACTTTTTCGCCAGACGTGCAGGTACGCCGTCTGTGTTTAAGGGGCTTTCAGGTAGGAGTACGTCGACCAAGGCAAGACACCACAGAAACGTTGATCAACAGGACTAGAAGCAGCAGATTTTTTCCCCAAGAAATCACATCTACTCGTTTAGAATCAGGAAAATAGCACTGAGTCACGTCCCGCATGTCTTCTCGTGCATTATGCTGCTACGCGATAACTTGCTTTACCCGATGAAGCTTAACACGACACATATGAGGTTCCAGCATCCCACTGTCTGCGGGAGCCTTCTGGCGATTTGGGGGGGGGAGGAAGGGACTGGGACGGAGGCAGCGCGCGCGGGCAAGCGAAGGAGCCGGAGACCCGCGGCGTCGCCACGCAGCTGCTGCGTTTGCACCCGCGGCAAAATAACGCGGGCGGAAAGACGGCTCCCGCTGGCGCCAGCCGCCCTTCCCCTCCTCCCTGCCCTGCCCTGCTGAGGCCTCCCGATTCAGCGCTTCACCAAAGCGGCTGTCTGTCAAGCGAGCAACGGGACAACCCGCGCGGTACTTACTGATGCCAGGTGACAGAATCAATCGCCTTCCCTCCCGATTTCAGGAAGCTGTGAACAAACGGCACAGGGTCGTCGGGAGGGTTGCAACTGAAAGCCGCGCACACGAGAGCGGCGCTGCTAACCTCTTGGTTGCAACGGGCTGAGGAGTTTAAGCTTAATGCCTTGCACGCAGGTAAGATTTCAGTCCCCCTCAGTCGAGGAAGAAAAAAAAAAAATCAATGGTTCTAATTTAAGAAAAAAATCAAAACTGATCAGGTTTCGGCTAAATTGGATTTATCCCTATTGCTCCTCCTTCCTGGTGGCTCTGAATCTGCCCAAACCCTCCCGCTCACCTCCGCAGCAGCTTCTGCGTGCGCTTCCGCGGCCGCCCCACGTCAGGGCCGTACAGTCTGGACCGCCGGTAGAGGGTATAATTATTCAGCAGGTGACGTAAGTGAATGAAGTCCTGTCCGAGCTGGAAGCCGTCAACGTAAATGCCAGACTTCTTCCAGAAACTGTTTGGCTCTGGGAGAGACAGCGATACCCACGTCTAGTCTTGGGAGGCAACGTGCCAACCGCCTGTGGCTTCGCGCCGCGTTGTACCGTATTTGGAGATTGCCATTCGATACTGCAAATTAAGGCCTTACCCTTTTCCCAGTAAAACACTACCTCGCTCTTTGGGGCATCGCCCACGAGGCGCTGGTGCAAGCACGTTGCTCTGAAGACGGCCCTTACCTCGCGGCGGCACGTTTCCACCCGCCGCAGTTAGCTGCCGCTTCTCTCGCCCGCAGGCGCGTTTTGCACTTACCGTTCCCCAGCTCCCAGGACATGTTGTACCGCCGCGAGGCGCAGTAGTCCAGCAGCAGCTGGGCGTTCGAACTGTCCCACTGCAGGCCGTTTTTCCGCAGCAAGGCATTGAGCCCAAAGATCAGCTGAAAGCGTGAACAATTTGCAAAGCTGTACAGGATGTCCACTGTATTTCCTGCGTGATGGAGAAGCACCGGGGAGACCGTTTATTTTCAAAGGCCCAGCGTGCTAATTGACTTAAAGCCAAATTAAGACCTGCGCTGTAGGTGCTTAACCTGGTGCTGTAGCTCGGCCAGGCTTTCAGAGCCAAGCCAGAGCGCCCAACCCCGGTGAAGCTTGTTAAACGTTACCCCGCGAGATGTTGAGATTCGCCTAACTCCTGCGGTGACCAAATAGTGTGAACAAGAAGACGGAGAGTAGGGTAGGATTTTTTTCAGGGACATCTCAATGACTTAGAGAAACCTTAATTTTCGGTGGCTTCAGCTCCCAACTGCCCATGACGCTGCCACCGTGGAACAGAGATTTGCAGCCTCCTAGTTACAAATCCTAGCGTGAGAACGCAGCAAAGGCTTACTTGTGATGGTGGTGTTTTTGTGCTCTTTCCGGTACTGTTCGTTAAGTATTAACCTCTCCTGCACGGGCCACTGGGCAAGTAGTAGCTTCTCAACAGCAGAAAACCCGGATCTTAATCCGCAAGCCTCTGCAGGACAGAATAAAGGGTGACAGCAATCAAACTTTCACGTTCACGGCAAGGGTTCAATGTGCAACGGGCTGGGTCCCTCCTCGAGACACACGCCTAGTTTGGGTAGAGCTCAGAGGAGTCCTGCGTTTCTGTGGAAGTCATCCCCACCTTCGTGATGACAGCCAGATGGAAGAGGAGGGCTGAACTGATATAAACGTGTGTGTGTATGCGTGTGTGTGTGTATATATATATGTATATGTGCATAACCGCGTTTAAGGTGATGGAGATGGGAAGAGGAAAAAAAAAAAAATTGACTGCAGTGGGCTTCTGGAAGCTGGTACAACTCGCGGCCGTAAGCTGCTAACCTGTTTTCGCTGGAGAGCTGCTCCGGAAACCCTGACTGAGCAGCGCAGGCCGTGGTGCCCAGGCAGGCACGGCACTGCGGGAGCAGACAAACAACGCCCCGCACAACCCTGCCGCGCGGTTACCAGCTCCTATTGCTTAGGAGAGATACGAAGCACCATTTCCTGTTCCTGTGATGAGAACCGCTGGCTGCGTTTCCTGTTTCTCGCAGTGAGAGCTGCTGGCTGCGTTGCAAGGTTCAAATTAAACCGCTGGCAGAAGTCTGCCGACATGCTTCGTTTCTCTCCGTATGTAGTTTTTTTTTTCGTTTGTTTGGTTGGTTGGTTTGGTTTTTCCCCAAGCGCGCAAACCCCATGCGGGATCACACCACGAGCCAGAGCGCAAGTGCAAGGCGGGCCACAGTTCTAACTATCCCCCGGGCGCTCCAGGCAGCAGCGCGGGGTGAAAGGAGCACTGAGCTTCAGAGCCCAGCCTGACCCGTTAGCACCCCAGCACAAAGGGCAACTCAGCGTTTGCGTCACGTGAAACAGCTCCAGAACGCTTTATGTACTTCCACAGAATTTAAGGGGGAAATGGACTTGAATTCAGGGAATTTAAAGGAAAAACATTTGCACGCAGAGCCCAAACGGAAGAAGTGAAGTGCGTCAGGGTGGGGTGAGCTTGCGGTTATTTAAGTTTCAGGAAGGCAATGCTGTACGGCTCGCTGTCAGCTTAACTCTGATCTTGGGGAAGCTAGACCAAACAAGCACTTCGTTCTCAGCAGATTATTTCTTTCAGCCAGTGCTTTCTTTTCTGGATGAAACTACAATTTTTGAGCTGACCTTGGCTGGCTCCTCCCGGACGGCGGGAGAGTTACAGACACCGTGGTGGCATCCCAGAAACGAGTATTGGGCAGCAAAGCCGCAGCAGATACCGAGCGCGTGAGGGATATGTTTTGCAACCTTCCTCATTTTTGCATGAACCCTGACCGAAGTCCTTATTTTACTCATGCTGAGGGGCCAGCCACGGAGGAAAGGAGACACGGACAGACTGTGGTGAACTTCGGGAGCGGTGTAAGGCAGGGGGCAGAGAGATACGGAGAGGGCCCAAAACAGAACTAGGCCAAAGCGGAGACGAGTCTGGAAGATCCCGACGGAGGGCAGCAACCCTGAATCAGTGGAGAAGCACGAATGCTGCAGTCGTGCATTTGCTGCATCTGCAGCGCAGGGTGAACCAGTTATTGCATCAGTTAAGCTACAGATCGTTTCGTGCGCAACATTCACATCTACTTTACCTTGCTTCGCCTCAAGTTCCCAAATGATTTTCTCTTCTGAAGTTGAATCCTGGTTGGGATTGAAAATCAGAAAATCCGTTTTGGTGCCGCCAAATCTCAAGAAGCCTGGGGACAAGGCCCTCGCGAGGGTGCGCAGTTTGGGGTTGCTGAGGGAAGAACACCAAGAAACAGAAGAGACGTTATAGTCGGGCGAACTCATACCGAGCGCGCCATCTCAAGCCTCTCGCGTGCCTGTAATCCCGGCACAGTGTTTCATATAAAACAGGCGCTGCTGGGTCAAGGGGCTGGGAGCACTTTAGGGAGGCGATAAGCGGGGGAGATGCGCTGCAGGGATCGCGCTCGCTGACGAGGAGCTGAGTCACGGGGGCAAAGTAAGAGCGCGTTTTGAGGACAGGCAGTTTTCTCCCCTAGACTTTTTCGGTTTTGTTTAAACAAAACTATCGGACCCATGAGGAGATGGACGTAAGACTGGCTTTACACCATCGTTCCCAATTTCCCTAAACTACAGCCAAACAAAATGCCTTTGTACCGAAGAGAAAAAGGGTCCACATCAGGACTAGCATTAGTTTAATTAAGCAGGCTTAAAAAGCAGCTTAAGCTCTACTTCTGTGACTTGCGTGGAACGAGCAGAGCGCACACGACTTAAACGCAGCCTTTGCTCGGGGAAACGGAGAGAGGGAGAGAGAGGCATCAGATGACACCTGATGCACGACTGATATCACTACTCCGAGGCCGTCTGGGGCTGATTACTGCCCACCAACAGCTTCCTGCTCACAGCCACAAGCAGAGCAAAGCCCAGGGCTGCGCCCGCGGCCACCGGCTTCTGGCCCGATCCTACTCCGCGACTGCCAGGAGGTCTAAAGGTCGCAGAGACCCGACCTCTTTCAAGCAAGGTGGCATCACTCTCCCTCCAGGAGAAAAAAGATGAATGAGGTAGGAGGAGGAAAATCAGAAGGGCTGAAGAAATAAGATGGGACTGAAAAATTGGATCAACGGAAAAGAGAGAGATATGTTAGCTTCAAAAATTACAGAATCAAAGGGAAGAAAGAACCGGTTTAAAAAAATTAAGAGCAAAATTGGGACGAAAGAAGGCAAGAGAGAGGTCCAAACCAAAAGGACAGACAAGAAACATCACCACTTGGTGGTCCTGAATTGTTCAAAGAGCTACCAAGGAGGTGGGGGGGGGGGGGGAAGAGAGATTTGTTTTTAGGAACTGTAGATTTGACCTCAGCAGCAACAGACCGTCCTTGGCCTTTATGAGAGAAGACTTTAAGCCAACAACACCCTGGTAAACGTTCCCAAAGCTACGCTAGGACTTGGATCGTTTTCTTACCTTGCAGAGCGCAAGGGCAAGAAGCCCCCGGCCCCCAACCTGGCTACGCATAACCCGCTCTGCTCAGCAGCTGGCAATTTCCCTCTCCTTCCAGCAGCAAGGCTGCTCCCCTCCTGAATTTATGCCTACTTCTTTTTCTGCTTCTGATGGAGCATCATCAAAGCATAAGTCTTCTCCCTGTCTAAGCAATTCTTCTCTAGTTCCCTGAGCAAACGGTCACAGAGCAGTCAGCACTGATAACAGATTCCACCTTGCTGTGCTGGGACAACTAAATGGCTTATTTCATCTCAAAGCAGACCGGACAATCATAACTTCTATTCCACACTGAAACCTCCCAAGTCTCCCCCACCTGAAGCTCCAAGGGGTGAGGGTCCCCTACCATCCTTTAGTTATTTCAGTACCTTATGTCTCTTAAAGACACTGAATCGGACCCTGCCTGTGCAGCTTACGTGGCTTTTGGATTGCAGATTTTGAGCACTGATTACTAAAGCAGTCACCTGTGATTCACCTATAACTGCTCAGTTCCTTTGTGGGACCTCTCTTCTCCCCTTGAAAGTAGCTGCTTCCGTTGACCCTGCGTTTCCCCAAGCAGCGGGTTGGAGCTGCATCCTAAAGCGCAGAGACACCAGGCTGGAGCCATAACCTAGCTCCAAAATCGTAAGGCTCTGTCTCCTTTCTGCAAGGGAGCAGAGCCAAAGCTCTGGAGGATGTTGGCCTTTCCTCAGTCAGCGCCAGGGTGGCTGGAAGGAGGAGAGGTTCAGAGGAGCTCTCACCTCTCTGCACCTCTTTCTGCTCAGGCACAGGGTGAGGAGAGCAAAGGGCTGCGGAAAAAGAAATTGTCGCGAGACAGAATAGGCACAGCCTTGCCGGGTGCTGCAGGAAGGGAAGAGGAAGGGGGAGGAGACAAATACCTGCCCCTTACCTCAAGAAGGTGACGTATCTTGGGTCTTGAGCCAGGCTGGCATCCAGGGTGAGAGACAGGAAAGCCGAGCTGACTTCCCTGAGAGGTCGTCCCTGCAGCCCGAGGCTCAGCACCGCCACCTTCCACTCCGGCGAGGCATTCGGCGGCTGGCTCAGGGCTTCGCGGGGCAGCAAGCAGAGCAGCTGAAGCAGGAGCATCCTCCTCCTCCGGGGTGCTCAGCGGGACCAGCGAGCCGGGCTGAACCTGGTGG